GCCCGCCCTCTCTCTCTCTCTCTCTCTCTCTCTCTCTCTCTCTCTCTCTCTCTCTCTCTCTCTCTCTCTCTCTCTCTCTCTCTCTCTCAACGTACAGCCAAATGCTGCCCATTGTCATCCTGTCTGGTTGAGGGGGTGCAAAGGGCAAATTTTCCATCAAAATCAATAAGCAAAGCAACTGGTCATTTTTCACGGTAGCTTTTTTTTTTTTTTTTGTTTTGGTCTGAGTGTACTTATGTGAGTGGTTCGCAGATGATTATTATTCTCCACAGCTCTGCGCGGTGAATGAGAACAGATTGAAGTGGGACCTTGTGACGAGCGGCGAGACTGTTTGAATTCTCGCTCCGGCGACGTTGATCACCAAACTGATCAATTGTCCGCGTCTCTGAATTTTATTTGATTATGGAAATCAGGAGAAGTGGTGGCAGAGTGGCAAGGGCTGCCTCACAACAGCTGCAGATTTAAAGACGTGAGCGTCAGTGCGTGTGCACACGCATGAAAGTGTATAGTTGGAGTATGCGTCTCGTGGCTGGCTCTGCGCTTGATTTGCCCCAACAAATTGAGCATACTAGAAACTAAATGGCAAGTAAAAGACATTCATTGTTTTTTTTCACATTCATTGTGTTTGCTCTTTCGCTCTAGTTTGCTGTAAGGGTCATTCGCAATAGAAATAACAGAATCATATGCCTCGCTGACACTGCTGACAATTGAAAAGAATCATCAATAATCAGGTATATTTGACGACATTCACTTAATTGACCATGGAGATTCCTTCCCAAAATGTTCTCCTATTTCCTTCCTACTATTTTCGTAAGCAGTCTTGTTTTGACGCGAGGTAAAAATAAATAACTCCTATTATGTGGTTGCTCAAGTGTGCACACCCTCTTCTAAACGGGGATGCGACTGTGCTCAGAATGAACCAAGCACAAGCAGACATTATTCAAAACTTCCTCTGCAAGATTAACCTCAAATCAATTTCTGAAGTTCTATTTGGTGTTTCCTGACAGTCCCCCTTAACCTTATGGCACTGT